CCATCAAGAGGCTTTGGGGCTGCACTCCAGCTTCTCTGGGTCCCATTCTTTGGGCTGCAGTGAGATGGGGTTTTTATAGAATGTCCTACATTCCAGGTTGCTCCAAACCTGTGGTGAATAATCATTGCTAGCACTCATATATCACTTGAAGGTTTGTGAATCACTTTACCAGTATGATCTCATTTGCTCTTCACAACAACCCCATGAGATAGGTCCTATTATTATCCCCATTTTACAGAATGCATGACTTACCCTGGTTCACACAGCTAGTTAAGTATCTGAGGCAGGATTTGAACCCAGGTCTTCCTGACTCCAAGGCCAACACTATCCAGTGCCCCTCTGAGCTGCTTTGTTTACTGAACAGAACCAACCTGGAAGACGCAGGACTAGCTTAGTGGTAAGGCATTCATTGGTTAGTTGTCATCCAGTTGTGCCCAACTCTCCATGACCCCATGTGAGGTTTTCTTGGCAGAGATATTGGAGTGGTTGGCCATTTCCTTCTCCAGCTCATTTTACAAATGAGGAAACTGAGGCAGACAGTTACATGACTAGCCCAAGGTCACACAGCTAGTATCTGAGGTTGAGGTCTTCCTGACTCCAGGCCCAGCATTCTATCCACTGTACCACCAGCTGCCTTGGTCAGTTAACACAGTGATAAATTGTTATAGACTATACTCAACATGGTGTATATCTACATCTATATCTCAACCCACTGGTTCTTTAGGTTCTGTTTTGGTTATACACATACACACACACACACACACACACACACACATATACATGCATATACTTATGTAGGGGTGTGTGGGTGTGTGGGTGTGGGTGCACAGTGGATAGAGGCCAAGCCTGGAGTCAGTAAGACCTGAGTTCAAATCCAGCCTCAGACATTTATTACTATATGACCCTGGGCAAGTCACTTAACCTTGGTTTGCCTCCATTTCCTCAACTGTAAAATAGAGAGAATACTAGCACCTACCTCCCAGATGTTGTGAGGATCAAATGAAGTACGATGTGTAAAGTGCTTAGCACAGTGCCTGGCACATAGTAGGCAGTATATAAATGTTAGTTGTTATTATTATTCATAATATATAATATACCCACCAACATATGAGAACAGGGACTCTAGATCTGTGATTTGTGGTTTCTTTAGTGTAAGGAACTCCCAGGTGAGGAAACTCCCTCTACCAATGTAAGTTGGCCCCTTATAGTCTTATAGAGTTGCCTAAAGAGCCAAAAGGTTAAGTGACTTGCCCAGGGTCACACAGTTAGCATGTGGCAGATGGAGGATTCAGCTCAGTTCTTCTCAGCTCCAAGGCGAGCTCTGAGCTGTTGCATCACCTCTCTCTCTCTCTCTCTCTCTCTCTCTCTCTCTCTCTCTCTCTCTCTCTCTCTCTCTCTCTCTCTCTTTCTCACACACACACACACACACACACACACACACACACACACACAAGCAGATCAGGGATCTGTGATTTCAACAGATACAAACAGCATATGATTTGGTACTGAGATGGTCTTTGAGAATGGCTGTGGCCAACAGTACCCCACCCTATGACCAATCATGGCCACGAGTCCTCCTCAAGAGCAGTGCTTGGACAACAGACACATCACCTCTTCTGAGGCCTGAGCTTGAAGCTGGTCCAGCCTGGCAGGCCCTGCCAGGGCTCATGGTCTGCTAGCCCAGTTTCCCAAAAGCTGGACTCCCCTCACACCATGAGGAGCATCAGAGGGAGATTCCAATAATCAATAACAGAATAAAACAAAAAACAGAGAACAAGGTAAAAAAAGAGCCAAAGTACTTTTCTTGAATTAGTTTCTCTCAACTCTAATGGGGCAGCTAGATGGTGCAGTGCAAAGAGCACTGGACTTGGAACTGGGAAGATTCGTCCTTCTGAGTTCAAATCTGGCCTCAGACATTTATTGCTGTGTGACCCGGGCAAGTCACTTAAACCTGCTTGCCTCAGTTTCCTCATCTGTAAAATGAGCTGGGGAAGGCAATGGCAAACCACTCCAGTATCTCTGCCAAGAAAACCCCAAATGGAATCACAAAGAGTCAGACATGACTGAACAATAACAGCTCAACTCTAAACCCTTTTAATTCTCCATCCCAGGTACATTAATAAATCACTCTAGGGCCAAACCTTCTGTTTGGCTTGTAGGCAAAGATGCCTATCTTCAATGTGCAGCAGCTGTGAAGATGTAGCTGTTCGCTTTTATTGAGTACATGAGAACCTCATTGGGGAACCTTGTGCAGGCAGGACAGGATTCAGCTTAACACAGGTGTCTCATGAACCAAGGGTTGGGGCAGTTACTGATGTACAAGGAGATCCCATGACTGGACCCTAGGACAGCAGGATAGTCAAGCTCCAGTGGCCTTCCATCATGCTCCTCTTACAGTGTCCTTGGGTCTGATCTTCGTAGACACAGTCCACAAGGCAATGAGACTATGTTTGAATGTTCATCGGAGACCCAGTGACTTTCAACAGTCTCAGACAAAGCTTTGTGCTTCAGGAAGCCCTCCAAGACCAACTCCAGCTCTTAGTCTGCATGAGGGCAACTATAATCCAAGAATTAAACATTCTTGGCGAACCATCTTGATTATCAAGACAAATTATCTTGAATATATGTGTTAATTTTGTATACATTTTGTACATACTTACATATGTACATGTCTCCTCTGTTAGAACATAAGCTCCTTGAAAGCAAGGGCTATTCATTTTTTGTCTTTGTATCCCCAGTATCTAGCACAGTGCCTAACACATAATAGGCATTGATAAATGTCTGCTCATTGACCAATTGACTCACATCTTTTGGGGTGACGTCATGAAGCATAACATGAAACAGTTTCAATCCATACCCCTGAAGCAAGACACAGAGAATGGAATCCTGGGCAGGACGCTAGAGATTTGTTTCTCTCAATTCATTTTATAAACAGAGAATATGAACATAATAATAAAGAAATGTATTTGGTCAAAGTCTACTCCACTTTTTGATAAAATCCATTCTATATTAATATCCATTCCACATTAATACAAATGTAAATTCGTGGTTTAATCCTCAACAGCTAAAATTCCAGTCTACCTTGAAATGGAGTGAGCAGTGCCAGGTCACCATGTTCTGAGTAGGTGAGCTTCAGAAGCTTTGTGGAAGGAGCTCATTCTCATGGCCTATTGTGTGTAAATGAATCATGGCAGGACAGGAAACCATATCTACATAATTTACAGCTCTGAATGGCTTTTTCACCACACCCATGCTCCCCAGCTCATCTCTGGACAAAGTAGTAAAGGGCAGCATATATCATAACTCCACTGGATGTTATTGGAATATATTAAGTTGTTTATTTCTTTAAATAAGTTACTAGGAAGAAAAATTGGTTTTTCTTAGGACTATAATCTATTTTTTTAATAGAGAGAAAATAAAAACTTGGAGACCAAAGTAGGGATGAAATCCACAAAAACTGTATTTGATTTGAGAAAACAAACTACCTGTGACTCTGGTAAAGTGTTATATGATGCATAGTCAACGATCTCCTACCATTAATCCACTTTCCTACACTCTCACCCCCCAAAATTGAAGCTATCAGGTTTATGCCTACGTCCTTAAAAGATAATGCAAAACCCAATAAGCACTGAAGCTTATACATACACACATACGTATGTAGATATATATGTGCATACATCTCTCTCTCTATATATATATATATTTTAAATTCAAGATTTTGGCCACATAGCAAACATACTTTGGAAGCTTTCAGAATACAAAACTTGTGGCCGTACTGACCCACCAATCCATGCATGCTCAAGCATTCTCCTGACTCTGAAACTGACCGCTAAGCCCCATCTTGGGCTATGGAAGCACTCCCCATCCTGAGTCATCCAAAGTGCCAATCGAGGGAAGGGGATGAGAACGCACACCCTGAATAGATCCTGCTGGCCAAAGGCTCTCTCCAAATGTTTGTGGGATGAATGATAACGAGGCAGTGGGTGCTTCTGGGAGTTATCTATGTGGTTCTGGTTCCTCAGTCACCAACTTTTAGTGAGCCTAATCTTGTATGAAAGGACTAAGATTTCACATCACATCAAAAATTGGCTCAAATCAGACACTTAGAAGTATCTGATTCTTTAAAAGTCTAGTAAATTATGGAATGGGATCCTTTCCTCCTTATTTTCTCTAAAGACTAAAAGGTAGATAGGGAAAGTGATGAAGGATTCCATCATGCTTTTTTTTTTTTTAAATTCTGACCATGGGATAGAGTTGACTTCCCTAACAAATGTACATATGGCTTCAAGGTTGACCTGACATTTGCATTCTGAATGACATCAGGATATTAACAAGTTGTCAACTCACCAGAAAAGAGGGAAGTTGAAAGTTTCATCTCTTACATGATATTTTATAAACACTTTTACAAAATCACCCAATGTTGCTCATTGATTTTTTTTGTCTATTGCAAAGTGGCTTTGGACTTGAGAGGCAGCGTGGAAGGGAGGTCACCAAGTCCTAGACCTGGAGGCAGCCTGGTGCAGAAGAAAGAACAAGGGGTTTGGAGGCAGGGGCTCCGGTTCAAATTCCAGTTCTCCTACTTACCACCTGTACTTACCACCTTGAGCAAGTCACTACCCTGCCCTAGGTCTCAGTTTCCTCATTTGTAAAATGAGGGAATTGGACTAAGGCTCCTTTTAGATCTATGATCTTTGAATCAAGGAGACTCACATTCAAATCTGGCCCCTAATAGTTACTCTCTGTATGACCCTGGTTTGGTCATTGCAAACAGCTCTCTGAGGCTCATCTTCTGAGTTCCAAATGGTGGCATGATCCTTCACATACTGTCATTTAGATTTGGGGAGTTTTCAAAGTTATAGAATATACTTGTAATGATTTGCGTGGCTATTCAGGTAAGAATGTCTAACATACCCCAGCCAACCTCCCAATAGAAAGTGAGTTCCCTGAGGGCAGGGATGGTGTCATTTAAAAATATTTGGATAACAGATTCACATACAGTAGGCGCTTAATAAATGTTTAAGTGATATTTTTAAAAAAACCTTTATCAGAGGTTTGTATTTCTCTCCTACTCCTGAATCAATCTGAGGAATTCTTGTCCCTTTTGCATTTAACAAATTATGTAGAGATATCAAAACACCTGCTTTAGAAGCAAGATCGTTCTCTAACTAGTAGTTAAAAGGTCATAAAATCAATGAAAAAATGTAGCTGACTTCTACCTCCCACATGGCTCTCTCTTGGCCAGATCTAGACCTAACACATTCCTCAAACTGGACATTCAAGTCAGCGGATGTGAATCCTTTCCCATGAACAAAAGAGAAAATGAAGCTGGCTACCAAAACAGATTCTAGATTCAAAATGGCACAAGGCAACTAAGACGACCCCCGACACCTGCTGGGGGCAGAAGGGGCAGGGGTTGGGGGGAGTCAGGCCACCCCACAGCAAAGCTTATCACAGATATTTCATGGTGGTTAAAATTCTATTTCATTTTAATTCGGATGCTGGGAGTCAGACCTCCTGTGGTGATGAGTGAATGCAAAATGCAAACACAGGAGCCCATGACCCCACCTGGCACCAAGAAGTTAACATCTGTCCTGCTCACAACCCTCCAAAGTTTACTGCTGACTGACACCCATCTGTTGATGGTCGGCTTCTGGCTCCTCCTCTTCCACGTCGGCGCTGTATTCCTCGAATGCGTCATCGTCTACATCTGGGAGCCCCAGCAACTGTTCGTAAAGGGCAGAAGAAGCTTCAGTGAGTGAGATGCCAATGAACTTCAGGAAGGAAGCTTGTGAAAAGGCAACTGGTCCTAATCAAACACCAGGGTACAGAATTCATTTAAATGGCCCTGGATAAGGAGCAGCTAGGTGGCACAGTGGATAGAGCACTGGACCTGGAGTCAGAAGGACCTGAGTTCAAACCCAGCTTTAGACACTTAACACTTACTAGCTATGTGACCCTGGACAAGTCACTTAACCCTGATCACCTCACCAAAAAAAAAAAAAAGGCCTTTGAAAAAGCCTTTTGGTATTTTCTATTGGAGGTCACAAGCCTCTGGGCTTCAGCTCTAGCTGTTGACATGTTAACTGTATGATCATGGGCAATTGATGGAACTCCTCTGACCCTCAGTGTCTTCCTCTACAAAATAGGGGTGGGATGGCCTTTCCATCTTTGTATCTATGACCTGATGTTCCTATTTTCTAATATATTTGGCATGTCAGTCTTTCTAGGGGATGGATGGCCAGAAGACAGAAGCCTTCACTCTGAAGCATAGAGATTATCTAGCTTTAAAATTTTAAAATATGACATAGCATCACAGACAGAGACTGTGCTCAAGGCATTTAACTGATTCCACAGAAAGTCTAAAAAATTATGGATGGTATTCATTGGCTGTTCAGAGCAAGAAGGGAGCACGCTGCCTAAAATCCACCATCTCCACTGGGCATATGTTATTCTACTTCTCTGGATCTGTACTCAATTCACCATAGCATCTTGACCATAGGGACTGCTTCTTTGCATTCAGGGTAAGCAGTCTAAAACCCTCAGATAACCAGCATGGGATGCAGGGGGAGGTGGGGGAAGAAATAGGACATTGCCATGCATAGGGGACCCTGGAGCACCAGTACAAAGTCACTGTTAGAGAAGCTGAAGAAGAGGCTGGGGAGAGAGAGGAATAAAGGAGGAGTTCACCCCCACTTGCCATCTGGTAGCTTCCTATTTTTTTTTAAAGAATATTTTATTTTTTCCAGTTACATGTAAAAAACAATTTTCAATATATATATTTTTTATTTTGAGTTGCAGATTCTCTCCTTCCCCTCCCTTCTCCCTGAGACAGTAAGCAATTTGATATAGGTTATACATGTGCAATCATGCAAAACATATTTCCATATTAGTCATGTTGTGAAGTAGTTTCCTATTTTAATTTATTCTGCTTGCTAACTAAATGCTATGCTCTGTTGTTTCTAGTTGCTAAAGGACTGCTAGTACAGTCAACACCCTCTAAATTTGGCATCCTGGGACAAAACCCTATTTACCCCACCCTAGTTACAGCTAGCTCTGACTTGTGCCTAGCACAGTGCCCAGCATGAAGCCAAGGCTTAATAAATACTTGCTGAATTGTAGCAGTCAACACAGCTGTCTTCAAGGCCAGATTTTTCATTTGTTTGATTGTTTCCTTTCAAGTGGAAGTGAAAGGAAGGCTATTGGAATGGGAATGGAACAAATCTGGGCTAGGAGGATTGTTAGCCTGAGGGTGTGATAAGTGAAAGGTAGCTGTCCCAGGTTTCAGATTTACAAATAACCAGCAGCAAGCAGGACCTCCAAGGCTGCAGCCAGTCAACAGCCAATCAGCTCTTTGTAGATAGAGTTCCACGTGGGAACAACACTTTCTCTAGCAATTCAGGGGGAAATGGCATCTTTGGCATTATCTCCTCTCTCTCCTCCTAAAGAGAAGCCAGTATGACCCCATGCTCAAGAAAATGAGAGATGCACTCGAAAAGAGTTCATTTACTCTGCAGCTCTGATCTGGCTTGCCTTGGTAGCTAGTGGGATCAAGCCAGGACAGAATCTTCCACTAGGCATCATTGGTGGTCCTGGATACTGAGATTACCAAGACCGCAAGGGGGCCGCTACTCTGTGTTTCCCTTTCAGGCTTAGTATGATGCATCTATTGTCACCAAAGAGAAAAAATGTCAGCCCCAATAAAGGCAGGGAGAGAGAGGAACCCAAAAGGTGTTAACCCATTAATGCTAGAGTATATCTCTCAGAGAAAACCCCAGCACAAGGGTTTTGTCTATTTATGAGCATCCTTGTTTTCCATGGTAGGTTTGGAAATTCCATCCATGGGCATCTAGGAATTAGGCATGTTGCAGTATGGGATGGAGTTTCCCTTTAAGTACAAGAAGAGGGAATGAATAATATAAACACCTCATCTTTGGGTTACTTTCTGAGTCTCTGTGAACTGCTGCCTGGTTACCCAGCATGACAGACAAAAGTCTACTGATCAGAATTAAGCAGCTTGTGAAATAAAAGGCCAGACCCTCCCACCAAAATAAAGCCTCCAAACACCCTAAGATGAGATGCATTAACTCATGCAATTGACATAAGCTGTCATTGATATAACTCAGCACATTTGCTGTGCTGTCAAACACCCTCCTAAAATGAAGAGAGGATTCTGCTTTCTCTTCTTGATAATCTAATTCTTGTTGAGTAGGAATGATGGAGGATGGGTGGGCTGGCATGAATGGGCTGCAATCTGCCTCACTGCTCACATCAATGAGATCACAGATCCCTTAGTGATTTAGAGGAAGGAAAGATCATAGGCTCCGAGAAGATTGAAAAGCATCAGGTCCTGTCGGTATGACTTTAAGTGTCTTAGCCAACTCCTGCCAAAAACACCTCCCCTGATTCTTCTTTCCCTTATCCCCCATATCTAATCAGTAGCCAAAGTCTTGTCAATTCAGTCTCTACCACTTCTTCCATATCCATTCCTTTTTCTCCACTTACAAAGATACCTCCCTAGCTCAGGCTTTCAGCAGACTCACCTAGACCATTACAACAGCCTCCCAGTGGCCTCCTTACATCTAGCCTCTCCCCTCTCATATCCCTCTTGGGTTCCAACCCATCTTTGCATGCATATTCTACATTCCAGTCAACTGGCCACCTTGCTATTTCCCACAGGTGACATTCTGTCTCCCACCCCCATCCCCTGTTCTATCTCCCATCATCATCCCCCATTCTGTCTCCTACCTCCCATCCCCCATTCTATCTCCCACCTCCCATCCTCCATTCTACCTTCTACCTCCCACCCTCCCTTCTATCTCCTACCTCTCACCCCCCATTCTTTCTCCCACCTCCCATCCCCCATTCTATCTCCCACCTCCCCCCCCCCCATTCTGTTTCCCACATGCTTTTGCAGAGATTGTTACTCATTTGACACTCAAGTAAGTAAAATGGCATACAGGAAGGATCACAGATCAAGAGCTGGAAGGAACCTTGGAGGCCATCCCCCAAGGAGGCCGACCCCCACAGAGGCCATCCTGAGTTCCTTTGACAGGCGAAAAAATTAAGGATGATTTGCCCAAGGTCCCCCAGGTAATGATTCACACAAAGGTCCTGCATTCTTTCCATTTGACCAGATGGAGGAAAGTGCTTCAAAAACATTAAAGACACTGAAGTGACATCTCCAGTACCAGGACCCCTCCCTCCAGGTCAGAGGCCCTTTGGAAGTGGAAGAGCTCCCAGGCTGGCTCCATAACTGACCATGTGAGCTTTCAGCGAGCCACCTTCCCTCTTCAGGCCTCAGCTTCCCCATCCATCGATTGGGATAGTTAGTAATAACTAAATGAACCTAAGTTGTAGAGCTTCTGTGAGGCAAGTTTCCTCACCTGTAAAACAAGGAGGTTTGTCCACATTGAGAAAGGAGGAGCCTATAGGAGTGTGGAGGTGCCACAGAATCATACTGGTACCAGAAGACTATGAAGAACATAGAGAAATACCAAAAGAGTCACATGGAATAACTCAGAGCAAAGAAAACAGCAAAGCAAGCTATAGCCTGACTAGGATAATAATAATAACAAGCAACACTTGCATAGTGCTTGCTATGTGCCAGGCACTGTGCTCAGCACTTCACAATTATCTCTTTTAATCCTCAGCAACCTTGGGAGGGAGCTGCTATTATTTTCCCCATTTTACAGATGAGAAAACCAAGGCAGATGGAAGTTAAGTGACTTGCCCAGGGTCACACAGCTAATAAGCATCTGGGACTGGATTGAACTCAGGCCTTCCTGACTCTAGGCTCAATGCTCTATTCACTATGCCATCTAACAGGATATAAACGATGTTATGAGTAATAGTGAGAAAAATGTCCAGAGGCCCAGGCACCCACATACAGGGCACAGGCCAAGGCACACCCTAAAACCCAAAATAAATAACAACAATAGCTAGTATTTATAGGGCACTTTAAATAACATTTTAAAATGGGGTTTGTTCTGTGTCACGTTTCTAAACTGGTATTTGGTTAATTTTTAAGTTTCCAGTTTCCTTGATAAATAAAAATAATCATTCAATCAATACAATATATGGCTTTTAAAAAAATTGATAAAATTCCCCAGTTGGGCATACATGAACAAAACATACTGCACTAACCTCTGTGCAGCAGAAAAAAAAAGTCAAGAAGTGACATGGAAACAAAATGGTTACTTTGTATCTACTCTGTAGACACATTGTGGACAGTAGAACATAAGCTCCTCCAGTGCAGGAATTGTTCCATTTTGAGGGTTGTTGTAATAATAAGAATAACAACAGCCTGGCAGTTGCCGCTTAACAAATGTTTCCCAAATTGAGCTGTGTGTCCTTGCACAAGTCATTTGATTTCTCTAGGCCTTGGTTTCTGTCTTGAACAAGAATCTTCTTTCTCTAAAACATATCCAACAAATAGCGATGGAGACCAGCAATGAGGAGGCCCCGCCTCCTCCCCACTCCCCGGGCAGCCTGCCCACCTCTGGGACACATCTAAGTGTTAGTAGTGTGCTATCCCTTGCTGCCTCTTCCACAGGATGGCCCTTAGGATACTTCAAGTTATCATGCTCCTCTCCCCCTGCCTAACGTCGCTTTCTCCCTTCTCCAGGCTAAACACCTCCAGTTCCTTCAAGGCCTTTCACGGTAATCTCTAGTCCCTTCCTCTGGATGTATGCCAATCTAACCACATTGTTCCAAAAATTCGGTGCCTGAACTGAATGCAACATTGTAGCTCTAGAGGAAGAGCATCATGAGAGGATGGCCTCCCTTGCTCTGGATACCATGCCTAAATGGTAGCATTTCTTAGCTGACTCATATTGAGCTTGTGGTCCACTAAAACCTCTAGGTCTTTTTCTACACAAACTCTTTTCTAGCCACACCTGTACTTAAGCCACTCATTTACCCCTCTTTGTTTTTATCTTATTCAATTCAATCCTTTGTTCTAGCCAGCTAAGATCTTCTTGGGTCCTGGCTCTCTTAAGGGTAGATATCTATGGCACTCCACTTGAGATCCTCTCTCTGTTCTTAAATGATAGGATCACAGAATCAGAGATCTGGAGTTGGAACACAAACCACCCCATGTGGTCAGCCTTACAAAGTTCCTCTGTAATACTGATGCCCAAGAGAAAACCTCACCAGGGGCTACCTGGGAGGGTCTGAGTCCACTGACCTTGCTCCGATGAGCACCTAAGGTGGTGTGCCCCACCCACGGACACGAGGACTTTAAAGGCATCTTTTCTGCTGACAGTCCACAGAAGGAGATGACAAAGAAAAGGGATGCGTAGGGAGCATCTTTGGGCTGATAAATAGGACAAAAGCTCCTGGAGATCAAGGATTATTTTACTTTTCGTTTCTCCCCAGCCCCTGAACCTGGTGCTTGATGGGAGAGAGGCACTAGGACATGCTTGTACCTGTTTTAGGTGTGTTTCCTTTCCGCTGTCACCTACTTCAGGCTCCCTACTTCGCTCAAGTGGCCTGGGTCATATGGATGACACTTTACAAACTGTTTTCCCACCTCCTTCTAAAATCTATGGGGGGGAGGGAGACAAAGGTATTGCCCAAGTCCTGCCCCCTTGTTCATCTTTCTTCCCAGCTCCTTCTCTTTCCCCACTTTCCACTCACAGAGTGTGAAGGGAACCCAAACAACCCCACGTTGTCAGCTCTATAAAGGTCTCCCATAAAACAGATGCCCATCACACACACACACACAACCTCACAAAGGGGTCTATCTAGGAGGGTCTGTACCCACTGACTGTGCTTTGTATAGCACTTAAGGTAGTGAACCATGGGCAGGAGGTCTTTAAAGGCATCCCCAAATGGCGGTCCACAGAGAAAGAAGATAAAGAGTCATCCTCACTGGAGAAGGAAGTCTCTGACTACCAGAGGCATGCTTTCCCCCCCTGCCTGGCCCCACTCCTATGGCAGCAGAGGCTGTGGTCTTATCCCAGGGCTGACTTCCTTCCCCTTCAGCAGCTCACTCATGGTATCCTGGTGTGCCTTGCATTCCCACTAGCCCGTGAGCAGTCACACCCCAGGTAAGCCCATCACCCCTTCCCGTCTCATCTCCACTCTCCCAGGCCAGTTATGTTCCAGGTACAAAAACAACTAGTTGAAGGTCTAGAAAAAATAAAGATTGGATCCAGAAAATCAGGAAGTTAAGTTTATCCCCTTTCCATCAGAGCCCCAAACAGCTTTCTTTTCAGTCCTGGGCACTCAGTAATTTTCTCCAGCATCAATCTTTCCTACTTGGCTGGAGCACAGAAAGGCAGGAGAGAAAGGAAGAGAAAGAAAAACTTTGGGTTGGAAAGTTTCTCTGTTCAAAGGGATACACACACATACACACTGTACATGCCTTATTGATGAACCCCAAGTCCAGCTCAAGCATTCCTCTGAATGCAAGATTTTTGACAATAAGTTTCTTTTCAGGATGAAAACATGCAAATCCAACATAACTCTCAGGAGGGAACGCACAGGGGAGGAATGAGCACAGGGAGGTGGGGCAGGGAACAGACACTTCCAAGTCAATGCTGAACACATCACTTTTCCTTGCAGGCTCCCCAGCTCCTCCTAGACAGCTGCACGAATTGATCAAATTTCCCAAAACTTGAATGCAAACGATACCATGTTTTACTTTCCTGGCAACTTTGAGGGGGTTGTCTATGTGTCTCTTAAACAATATGTGTTACTGCTCGATGAGCATCTTTGTATCGACTAGTGGGCCGAAAGCTCCTGGGGATCAGGGATTGGTTCATGCTTTGTTTCTGTCTCCCCAGTCCTTGAACAGTGCCCAGTGCCCAGCACAGAGTGGGTGAGGCTTAATACATGCTAGGACCGGAATGACCTCGAATGAAGTAAGCAGAATCAAGACAATAAAAGATATATGGCCACAACAAGAGATAGTCAAAGAAAGGCAAACTGGGAAGAATTGAAATAATTATATTTGTTGCCGGAGAAGAGATAATGCAACATTCTTTCCTTCTGGTAGCAGAGGGCTGGGGGTCTACAGGGACAGAATGTTGAATACATTGTCAGACACAGTTGCTCAACTAGTTGTTTTTGATTCACTTGTTTCAATTCTGGTGTGTGTAGGGGCAGGGGAGAGGATGGTATACACAGACATTACCACGACATAAAACCAAAAGGTATTGATAGGAATTTTTAAAAGATGAGAATATATCTAGCTATTTATAACTTTGTTACATCAAAAACTATACCAGAGAAAAGGAAGGAAGGAAAAGGAGGAGAGGGAGGAATGAAAAAAGGACAGAGGAGGGAAGGAATGAGAAGAGAAGGAGGCAGAGAAGCAGGAAAGGAATGAAAGCTAGGAAAAGCATAATTTGGAAGAGGGACAATGTTTCAGATGGACAGGCTGAAAGCTTCACCCACAGAATTCAGACAATCCTTCTTTATTCACGTTTATAACACTTCTAGTCATCCAATCTAGGGCATGTCCTTACTCTCAGAGGCTTACAGCCCTTTAAACACATCATGTGCACTAACCCTTTAGACATTCCTGCCACCAAAGTCAGACTGAGAGAGGGGGAAGGGAGAGCTCATCTGAGGACCTGCAGACTGCAGAAGTCCTACAGTGAGAGCCATAGTGCCAGATACAGGACAATTCCATGAAGCAAGGAATGACAGGCATTGATATTTCCACATCACAGATAGACCCGTGAAACCTGAAGAAGCAACATTGAATCTGTGTCTGTGACATAAAACATCTAAACAAAAATAGTGGTGATACCGGGAGGGAGAGGAGGATGAACTTTCAGAATCTTGGTAGTTGTTGGGAAACATCTGGATCAAGAAAAAAAGGGTGTAGGGAATCGATTCTAAATGGAAGGAAATCTCTCTCCTCCTATAAACATAAAAGGCTACTTCTATTTAGACTCCAGGAAAAAGTCGGTCCCCAAATCCAGGGTGCAACAGAAAGAACCAGAGCTCAGCAAATCATAAGGGCTCACATAGACTGGATCCAAAAAGTATTTGGACAGTGTGTAATTAACCATCCACCAAAGGATCCATTTCCCTTCCCCCATAACTGGGATTCCTGACTCAACGAACACAGTACTTGGAATAATCACCCTCATTTCAACAACCAGCTGTTTCAGAAGAATTCTTTCCCACCCCCAATAAACTCCCAGTCTCCGATAACACCCAGTGCTATCTTTAAGCCAGAGAGTTAACAAAACAGTAACAATTAGTCAGCCTGGCTTTTGCCTGCTCTCCCCACCCCCTCCCTGGATTCCCAACGTGCTTATCAAAGAACCCTTCTTTTAAAAGCCAAGTGAGCACCTACAGGTCTGAAAGACTTGAAGACTTTTTCCAACACTTCATGGAGGGTCTTCTTGCCACAAGAGGAGATATAATCCTGTGCCAGCTGCAGGAAAGGCAAGCAGTCTTCACTCTCGCTCCAGACGTGCTGAGCCCCCACCGGAGGAGGAAAGGAAAAAAAAAACAAACACACTCATCATTAGACCTACTGGAACACAGAGAAAGTCATTTGCTTTTCTTTCTTCATTAAAAATTCTCATAGCTCAAAGCAGGTTTCTATATCACAGCAGAGTATAGTATGCAAGGGAACAGTTAATGAATGAGGAAAACGTTTTACAGAGATCCTGAGATTACCCTGAGATAATCCTCAAACCCGATTTTAGCCAATAAACCCACTCTTTTCTTCCACATCAGCTGGATCAAAGGCTCTGAATTTTAAGCACCTGTCTTCAGTTCTGTTACATTGTTCAATGTTATGGTCCTGGTGTCAGGAAGGGTGGGCAGAGATGAATCAGCTCCTGGATACTAGAGAGACTCTAGCCCCTAACCTGGCCTGTCCTCGTTGACTCTTCCCATAATAGTTCCATGGAGCTAAGGGCGCCCCCTTAAGAGAAAGATCGACTTATATAAAAATGATCATATCCTGTTATTAAAGGTACAGACGAGTGGCAGCTCCCCTGATCAGGTGAGCTCTTAGGGAGCAGGAACCATCTCGATTTTCAGTTTGAATCTTGAGCACTTTGGCACAGAGTAAACACTGAATCAAAGCTTTTCCGTTCCTAAGCAAAGGCATTCAGACTGGTTGATCTTTACTTTTTAAAAAAAAATGCTTTAAAAAATGCTTGGGAGGGAAGGGAGAGGGGCAGAAAGATACATCATTTTCCCCTGTTCATGCCACAGTGCCATGGAAAGAATGCTCCACTGGGGGTCAAAGGGCCTGAGTTCGAATCCCTATTAAGCCACCCACTACCTTTGTAGCCATTTCAGCTCCCTGGGCCTCAGTTTCCTCATCTGTGAAACAAGGGGCAGCATTAGATGGCCCCCAGGGTCCCTTCCAGCTCCAGATCATGTTCGATCCCAAATGTCCTCATTTTGCAGAAAGGGAAACTGAGGCCCATGGAGCTACAGGGACTTGCCTAAATTAACACAGATAGGTCAGAGGTGGGATATTGATCTGAAATCAACAATAGTAACATCATTATCATCATCATCAACAACACCCACATTTTGGAGCTTTGGAAGTTTTATAAAGAGCTCTTCTTAAAACCATCCTGGGATGATGATAATGAAATTATTACCCCCATTCTCACACAGGTGAAGATAGGGGCTCACTGGGGTTAAGTTGGCTTGCCATGGCCATATGTGTCTGAGTCAGGATTTGAAACTTGGAATTGTTCTCCCCCTACACCCTATTCTTCCCCATCCATGGCCCCCTGGCCGTCCGGTTCGATATCTTTCCCACTAGCAACAAGTAACATGTGCTAAGGCTATCAGTATTAGCATATTTTTTAAGGCCAGCAAAGTCTTTTCCATATGAGGCTATCCATTTCAGCACATTTTTTAAGTACAAGGCAAGCCTTCCCCTATGTGTTCAAGCATCTAGAGTATGCTCCTAGAAGGGGCTGGGCCTTTCTAAATTCAGAAACCCTGCTCTTCATATCTGTACCAGGGAGAGGCATCAGCCTGTGCCCAAGAACATGGGCAGGACATTGGGTCAGGGCCAAGAACAGCTTTTGGGAAAGGTCTGAGGAAAGCGATCAGCCTGGGGTGGGGGTGGGAGGAAGGGTGTGTGTGTGTGTGTGTGTGTGTGTGTGTATGTAAGAGTCTGAGGCACTGTGAACACAAGCAGAGAATGGAAGGAAGGAAAGGGGAATGGGGCCTGGGGAATATCTGCTTCCCAAGCACCAAGTACTCTTTCCTTCTTCTATTAATAAGAAGGGTTGGGATGCAGCATTACGAAGCCACACTGGCATCACAGAACCTCAGAGGTGGAAGGGACGTCAGTAGCTGTGTCATCCAAGCCATCCCCCCAAAAAACCCTTGTCACCCTCCAGGAGGCCAACTAAAAGCCAATCAGTCTTTGCTTGAATATCTCCAATGACAGGAAAGCAACTCCACTATTTCACTCTGGGATGACTCTTATGGCCAGAAAGGCCTTCGGGCTGTCAAGTCTCAGTTTGCTTCCTTGCAGCTTCTTCCCTTCCTGCTGGTTCAGCCTCTCTGAGCCCTCTGGGCCCCAAAAGAACAAGTTTTGTCCCTCCTATACATGACAATCCTGAGTTTTCTCTTTTCCAGACCAGAAAAGACTTAGGTTCAGATGCCAGTGTGTCCTTGGTGGGAAAAGGACCCACATGTACAAAAATATTGATAGCAGCTCTTTTTGTGGAAGCAAAGAATTGGACATTAGAGGATGCCCATCAACTGGGGAATGGCTGCGCAGGTTGTGGTATATGAATGTAATGGAATACTATTGTGCTGCAAGAAATGATGAGCAGGTGGACTTGAGAAAAACCTGGAAAGACCTGTATGGTCTGATGCTGAGTGAAGTGAGCAGAACCAGGAGAATGTTATACACAGTAACAGCCACATTGTGTGATGACTGACTTTGATTGACTTAGCTCTTCTCAGCAATGCAAGGATCTAAGGCATCTCCAAAGGCCTCATGATAGAAAACGCTATCCACATCCAAAGAAAGAACTATGTAGTTTGAATGCAGATCGAAGCATACTATTTGCTCTTTTTATTTATTTATTTTTTTGGGGGGGTGAGGCAATTGGGGGTAAGTGACTTGCCCAGAGTCACACAGCTAGTGAGTGTTATGTGTCTGAGGCCGGATTTGAACTCAGGTCCTCCTGACTTCAGGGCCGTGCTCTGTCCACTGTGCCAACTAGCTGTCCCTCTTTTATTTTTTTCTTTTGTTTTGTTTTCTTTTTTCTGATGGTTCCTCCTATTTGTTCTTATTCTTCCTTACAACATGACTAATGTGAAAATATGTTTAATAGGAATGTATATGAATAGCCTATATCAGATTACGCAGCTGTCTTGGGGAGGGAGGGAGAGGTAGAAAAATTTAAAACTCAAAAGCCTATGGAAGGGATTGTTGATAAGTCAAAATAAATTAACAATAAAAAAGGGAGAGTTCAAGACTGGCTTTTCCTCTTGGTTACCATAAAGGATGTCTAGGAATTTTGCACTATATTGGAAAGAAGACTGGACTGGGACTCCAGGGTGCTGGATTTGGACTCATAAAGACTTGAGTTCAAGTCCTACCCCTGCATAATAATTATCTTCGTGCCTTTGGGCAAGTTACTTCATCTCAGAGCCTTACTTTCCTCATCTGCAAAATGGGGATGAGAATATTCTCACTTACTACCCCAAGCAAAGGCATTACAAGGAAAGAGATTTCTAAACTCTAAAGCCTTTAGAAATGCATCTGTTATCACGACACAGGCTAGCGCCCTTAGGATCTCCATGTCATTTCTCTCCTTGATATTCACTGAAGGACCTCTCAGGGCTGGAGCTGCTCCCTGATACAGCTCAATGCTGGGCACCAACAAGCACTTGGATACATATTTAGAAAACAACAATTAAATGCCTACTGTCTGTGTGGCTTGAGGGGACACAACAGCTACGACTGTTGGCCCAGATCCAGGCTCCAGCATCTAAGAGACTCCAGAAGACCCCAGCAAAGGCGGCTATCATAGAGAACATTAGGGGAAGAATGCTTTTGAGAGGCCAAAAAGCAAAGGACTTTGGGAGATCCAAAGGAGACGGCCTGACTGACCAGAGGTATCAAGGAGCTTTCCTCTTACACTGAATTTTTTTAAAAGTTCCCTTTTGTGTGAAGTTGACAAACAAACAACAATGAAGCCCTTCTGCCCCTGTTGAGTCTCTTCCAGGAGAGCCTCCATTTAGGGGGGTTAGCCCAGGCCAGCCATGCTCCATCTCCCCTCTGGCTGTGCTCCTGCCTCTCCAGCCCTCACCCCCTTCACCCCTTCCCTTTCAGCCCCCTTTGAGGTGTTGTCTCCCCCCACCAGAGCAGAAGCTGTAGGAGGACAGCGAATGACTGTCTTTTTACTTCTCTTTGCATCCCTAGCACTTTTAGCACAGCACCTGGCAACCAGGAAGAGATTCGTAAATCTAGTTGTTCTTGCCTGCTCTCCATTTCCCAATACAAAAAGGAGACTATGTATGAAGCCGTAGATCTCCATTACATATTGCTTTTAAAAGTAGATTGAAATGTTGACATGCCACTTCCAAAATAGCCCTGCCTCCATTCTCTTCTGTGTAGTTTATTTTAAATGACTGATTGAAGATCTTTTCTTTCTTTCCTTCATTTTTTTCTTTTGGCATTACTATAACCATCTCAGAAGCCTGCCTCCCTCCCCCCCAAAAAAGCCTTTCTTTGTGATAAATAAGTAAAGCCATGAAAAAAAAAACTCCGCATTGGTTGAAAATATATGTCCCTTTCCAATTTTCTACTCCAACTATTTATAAAAAGCAACATACAATAAAGGGCAGCCAGGTGGTACAGTGGATAGAGGGCCAGGCCTGGAGTCTGGAAGACTCATCTTCCCAAGTTCAAATCTGGCCTCAGACACTTCCTAGCCATGTGACCCTGGGAATGTCTCTTAACCCTGTTTGCCTCAGTTTCCTCATCTGTCAAATGAGCTGGAGAAGGCAATGGCAAACCACTCCAGTATCTTTGCCAAGAAAAACCCCAAATGGGGCCATGGAGAGTTGGACTTGGCTGAAAACAACTAAACAACAAACACACGGTAAAGGCTGGCGTGCTGGACCTGGAGACAGGAGGGTGTGGCTTTCCATCTGGCATTAGATGCCCTCTGTGGGACCTTGGGAAAGTCCCTTAACTTCACTGAGTCTCAGTTTCCCCTCTTGAAGATGGGGATAAAAGCACTTTCCTCACAGGGTTATTGAGAAGATCAAATGAGATAAAATGTGGGAAGTGCTCTGCAAACCTTTTAAATGTGCTATTGTTGTTGTTATCTTGATCAGCATTATTACTGCTAATGTGCTTCATCAAGGTGAGAGAACTGTAATAGGTCATCAGCCAGAAAGCATTTACTAAGTACTCACTGTGTGCCAGGCACTGTGTTAGGTGTTGGGAATGCAAAAAACCTCCTGCCC